CAATTGAGGTGTCGCGACCAATAGGTAAGAACAACATCTCGTTGTTACAAGGTTTAAGAACCCATTCAGTCGCATGAGATATTATTGGTAAACTATTACCCGCCATAGGCCAGACGTACGTTTCATCTCTCACGAGACTCGTCAGTAGCCTGTCGAATAAGGCCTAAGATAACGCAACTCAATTATTGTAACCAAGAAACTCAAATTGAGGTGTCGCGACCAATAGGTAAGAACAACATCTCGTTGTTACAAGGTTTAAGAACCCATTCAGTCGCATGAGATATTATTGGTAAACTATTACCCGCCATAGGCCAGACGTACGTTTCATCTCTCACGAGACTCGTCAGTAGCCTGTCGAATAAGGCCTAAGATAACGCAACTCAATTATTGTAACCAAGAAACTCAAATTGAGGTGTCGCGACCAATAGGTAAGAACAACATCTCGTTGTTACAAGGTTTAAGAACCCATTCAGTCGCAAGAGATATTATTGGTAAACTATTACCCGCCATAGGCCAGACGAAACGTACTTTCGTCTCTCACGAGACTCGTCAGTAGCCTGTCGAATAAGGCTTAAGATAACGCAACTCAATTATTGTAACCAAGAAACTCAAATTGAGGTGTCGCGACCAATAGGTAAGAACAACATCTCGTTGTTACAAGGTTTAAGAACCCATTCAGTCGCAAGAGATATTATTCGTAAACCATTACCCGCCATAGGCCAGACGTACGTTTCGTCTTTCACGAGACTCGTCAGTAGCCTGTAGAATAAGGCTTAAGATAACACAACTCAATTAAGTGGGATTATATATATATATATATATATATATATATATATATATATATATATATATATAAGTGTCGCGACCATTAGGTAAGAACAACATCTCGTTGTTAGGGGATAACGCAACTCAATTATTGTAACCAAAAAACTCAAATTGAGGTGTCGCGATATATATATATATAAGCCTGTCGAATAAGGCTTAAGATAACACAACTCAATTAAGTGGGATTATATATATATATATATATATACATATATTAAGTCTTAATAGAGGAATTGAAAAAAAAGAAAGGGCTAGCAGAAGTATTTTAGTCGAACTAAGAACCTACAATGCTATGATGGCCCCGGTTTTGATATATGGGGCTGAGTCGTGAGCATTAACGAGAACCATGAAAAAAGTTGGATGCCTGGGAAAACATGTGGATCAGAAGAATGATGTGAATAGGCTACAAGAATCATTTAAAAAATAAGAAAATCAGGAAAAGAGCAGAAAAAATGAATATTAGTGATGTTATAAAGAAGAGGAGTTATAAAGTTATAAAGAGGAGTTATAAAGTTATAAAGAGGAGTCAAATGTTATAAAGAGTTCAAAGTCAACATCAGCAAAACCAAAGCAATGAACACTGGTGAACCCATCCAATCCACAACTACTGTTCAGTTTGTAAAGCTGTGTCAGCAGTGTAACTAGTGGTGTCACAAACGTTGTTCACAAATAATTGGTACTTTATCTAAAGTGTCCAATTTTGTTTGTCCTGCTTGCATCAATCCTCAACAACAAATTCGAAATAGCACTTTTTTTGAAACCATTAAGGTAGAGAAAGTCCCATTATTTCAATATCTAGGGGATGTTCTGGATTTTACTGGAACAGCTGAAGCTGCCGTTCGAGCACGCATAGTGCAGCCTGGAATAATTGACATCTCCTTGCCTCTATATTGATGGGGCGTGACAATTTTGTTTGTCCTGCTTGCATCAATCCACAACAACAAATTAGAAATAGCACTGTTTTTGAAGCCATCAAGGTTCGAACACGCATACGTGCAGCCTGGAATAAATGGCATCTCCTTGCCTCAATATTGATACGGCGTAACATCCCACTACCATTACGATCAAGACTTTATAAATTTGTGATACGTACGGTGTTGTTATATGTTGCAGAAACATGGCCAATGACAACCAAACTGGAACAACAACTTCAACGAACCGACATGAAAATGCTCCGATGGATGCAACGAATTAGTCTGAAGGACCACATTAAATCTACCGAAATCCTGCGTCGTGCTGGTTTAGATGATATAAAGGACGAATGCCGGCAACAACGTCTGCGGTGGTTTGGTCATGTCAAACGAAGTGGAAACAGTGCCATAACTTCTCTTGCAGATGTTGAAGTACCTGGCACACGTCCCAAAGGCCGTCCAAAGAAGTCCTGGTCGCAAACTATCGAGCAAGACATGAAAGCTCTAAATTTAAATGAAATGGATACAACTGATCGTCTAAGTTGGCGCAAAAAGTTGATGGCAAAGAGAACAACGTCCTACCTCGGGAAACCGGGTCTCTGGACGCAAAACGAAGATTGATTGATTGATTGATTATAAAGAAGAGGAGATTTAAGTGGGCAGGACATATGATGAAAATAGAAGAGTTCAAAACAACAAATAAAATTTGGAAGTATCAACCAGAGAAGAAAAGATTAAAAGGCAGATCTAAAACGAGATAAAACGAGTGTCTTAGTCGAGATTTGGAAAGACCTGGGCTATCAATACACACGGAAGAACTACTGGAAGAACTAGAGTAACACTAGAAGATACTGCAAAAAACAGAAACGGATGGCGACAAGCCATATTGGCCTCTTTGGCTGAAGACAATCGGCAGAGGAAATAAACACACACACACACACACACACACACACACACACACATATATATATATATATATTTGTTGGAAGGAGATCATATTTTATACAGTATTGTAATAATTCTACCAAAATGTTGGCATTATGATTTCTACCGAATTGTTGGAAATGCCAACAATTCTGGAAATGCCAACAATTCATACAATACTATATATATATATATATATATATATATATATATATATATAGAGAGAGAGAGAGAGAGAGAGAGAGAGAGAGGGTACATAAAGCATTAAGTTGAATGAAATTTAGAAAAAAAAAAAAATTTATAAATATATATAAACGTCCTACCTCGGGAAACCGGGTCTCTAGACGTAAAACGAAGATTGATTGATTGATATATATATATAAATATTACATGAAAAAGAAACACAAAACTATAATTACTAGGCAAATCTTGGACAACAAACAACCAAAATAACAACCAGTATAATTTACGATTAGTCGAGTCCAAATAACACAAAAATTTTGAATCCTTCGCATTAATAAATTTAGAAACAGAGGAATCATCGACGATAATGACACGTGAGTGTCATTCTGCACAAAGTTGAAGATAGTGATAACTAATTAAATGACCGTTAAGTATTCTTGATAAACAAAAAAAGAACTAACATTGTAGAGACACAGTATATATATATACTTGAGCATTTGGCCACATAATACACAACGTATCAATTCAAACATCGAAGATGGTATAGGAATAGCAAAAGGCTTATATGTTCTATCACGCTTAAAATAAATATAATTTTTCGTTATGAACTCAAGAAACTTGACAATGATTTACGATCTACCGTTAGAAAAATCGAAAAATTAAACAGGAAGCTAACTAACACGGAACATGCTGTGATTTTTATCAATAATTGCATTACTGACATTTTCATCAATAATTGCATTACTGACAGCCTTAATCCTATATATATATATATATATATATATATATATATATATAGGATTAAGGCTTATATATATATATGCTTGATATATATATATATATATATCAAGCACATATATATATATATAAGCTTGATATATATATATATATATATATATATTGATATATACATATATATATATATCAAGCAAATCAAATTTTGTATTTATATAGCGCCAATTATAATTGCTTTTCATCAGCGCTCTCGTCGCATAAAGCATGTTGAAAGCAAAACCATCATCGGTGGAGATCACTAGGAGTTACCAAATAGGTATGTCTTTAGACGTTTTCTAAATCCAGCTAATGATAACCAATATATACGTAATTCAATAGGTAGGCTGTTCCAAAAAATAGGCCCAGCAACTGCAAAATCACATAAATTTCCAAAAAAAATAAGACGTTAATGTATCTAAGGATATATATATATACAGAAAAAAAATTATTCCAGACCCTTTCAAACTGGACGTCTTTTTTGTGCCTAAATTTTAATCTCTTAAACAAGCTAGTCGCTCAAAAGCTAACCATTAATCAAAGCAAAATTAAGCTTCACTTCTAATGTTGTCTTGCTTCATTGTTTAAAAACAAATTCATTTAGTTATGTTCGACGAAATGTTTACATACTTGCGACTATAAATTAATATCACCAGCAAAGTCTGTGAACATAGTCGTGTTAAACTTTCAAGATAAATAATGTTCAAGAGTACTAACAGCGTAATGCTGCCAATGGCCTGATGTCTCCCATAGTTTAATGTTGTAGATGTTAGGTGACACAACTTCGGTAAATCCTCTCTTTTTGTATTCACTCTGTTATAACAAAACAGCCAGAAAATATTATGTTGTATGTATGTATCTTGAGATAAAACTTATTATATATATATGGTATACATATATATATATATATGTATCTATATATATATATACATATATATATATATATATATATATATAATTATTCATGAAGAAATAATGAAAATAAATGAAAAGCAATATTCATCGAGAAAAATTTCAACAGATTGTCGCCACACAGTTAGAACACCAATCGCAAGCCAGTACAGATTGGAGTACATACAAGACCGTTTTGATAAACGCTGCAACTACAGTTTGTGGGAAAACTGGTACAAAACGTCAGCATGAACGGGACACTTGGTGGTGGAATGACAGTGTACAAAATGCAATAGCTGAAAAGAAAGTTGCATACAAGCAATGGCAAAAATCAAAGTCTGTAGATGATCATAAAAGTTTCCGTGAGAAGAACAACTATGCAAGACGTCAAGTTGCACTGGCTCGGACAAATCAGTGCAGAGAGCAAAGCAAAGGTGAACAAAAAAAATCTCTGTATCGTATAGCAAAACAAGCAAAGCGTACGAAAAAAGACGTAGTTGGTGCCTCAAAATGACAAAAATGAGATGGTTCTTGAACAAGATGAGATCAAGCTACAGTGGAGAGAATACATCAACCGTCTGTTAAACAAAACAAATCCCATCAATGTTAACTTTGACACTCCACCCATCGAAGGTCCGATGTCAGACATCACTGTAGAGGAGCTTACAGAAGCTCTGAAAGCTATGAAGGATGGAAAGGCAGCAGGGCCCTAGGGACTCATAGATGACATTATCAAAGCATCTGGTACTGCAGGTATCCAAACGTTACTACAACTTTGCCGTGAAATCTGGAGAAATTGCTTAATGCCGACTGAATAGAACTATAGCATGACAGTCCCGCTATACATAGGCAAAGGTGATCCATTAAACTGTTCATCATATCGGAGTATACGTCTGTTAGAACTCTCCCTGAAAATTGTCGAGAAAATCATTGAGAAAAGATTAACATCGTGCATCACAATGGGAAATTATCAATTTGGTTTTCTAGCGGGGAAATCAAAAATTGATGCAATTCACATCCTTCGGCAACTGCAAGAGAAGAACCTCGCAAAGCATCAACAACTATCACACATTTTTGTAGACCTTGAAAAAGCATTTGATCGAGTTCCCCGTGAAGCAATCAGGTGGAGTCTACGTCGACAACTCACTCCAGAATATATTATTCGACTTGTGATGGAAATGTATACAAATACTAAGACTCTTGTCAGCACAACAGTTGGAAAGACAGATGCATTTGACATCGGCGTTGGAGTTCACCAAGGCTCGATTCTCAGTCCACTGTTATTTATAACTGTGATGGAAGAAATCACAAAACCGATACGCACTGGTGACATTTGGAATCTAATATATGCTGATGATATCGTTTTAACAGCCACGTCTGAGCAGAATGCAGCACAGATGTTTGAAGATTGGAACACCAGACTCGCCAATCATGGATTCAAAGTCAACATTAGCAAAACCAAAGCAATGAACACTGGTGAACCCATCCAATCCACAGCTACTGGACGATGGTCCTGCTCAGTTTGTAAAGCTGGTGTAGGTAACAATTCAACCAAGTGTCAGCAGTGTAACCAGTGGTGCCACAAACGTTGTTCAAAAATAATTGGTACTTTATCTAAAGTGTCCAATTTTGTTTGTCCTGCTTGCATCAATCCCCAACAACAAATTCGAAATAGCAATATTTTTGAAGCCATTAAGGTAGAGAAAGTCACATCGTTTCAATATCTAGGAGATGTTCTGGATTGTACTGGAACAGCTGAAGCCGCCGTTCGAACACGCATACGTGCAGCCTGAAATAAATGGCATCTCCTTGCCTCTACATTGATGCGGCGTGACATCCCACTACCACTACGATCAAGACTTTATAAATCTGTGATACGTCCGGTGTTATATGGTCCAGAAACATGGCCAATGACAAACAAACTGGAACAACTTCTCAAGTTCACCGAACCGATATGAAAATGCTCCGATGGATGCAACGAATTAGTCTGAAGGACCACATCAAATCTACCGAAATCCTGCGTCGTGCTTGTTTAGATGATAAAAGTCGAATGCCGGCAACACCGTCTGAGGTGGTTTGGTCATGTTAAACGAAGTGGAAACAGTGCCATAACTTCTCTTGCAGATGTTGAAGTACCTGGCACACGTCCCAAACGCCGTCCAAAAAAGTCCTGGTCGCAAACAATCGAGCAAGACATGAAAGCTCTAAATTTAAATGAAATAGATACAACTGATCGTCTAATTTGGCACAAAAAATTGATAGCAAAGAAAACAACGTCCTACCTCGGGAGAATTGGGTCTCTGGACGCTAAACGATGATTGATTGAAAATTGAAACTTTATTTCTATTAACACATTTTATCAATAGTTATTTCGTTGTTAAACCATCATCGTCAGTGCATAACTAATTGTTTTGGAATTATTATTATAGTTCATTATGGTGGTAATCATACTAATTATACTCTTTTTTAGTAATTTATTTTATGCCAATCGGTGAGTTAGCTCAATCGGTATAAGTGTCATGTCTTACAGCAGTTGCGAGATTGCTTGGTTTGAATACCATCGGTCCGAAACTCAAAGTCAATCATACGCCGTGAGCGTACAATACGGTGCTTGCGCGTGCATACATAATATGTAAGCGGTTTTGCATATGTCAGAGCTGCATAATACAGAATAAAAAAAATTACAGTTTAGTAGCTAATTAATTTTCATACCTTCAAGTGACATTTGACAAATTATAAACTAATGGCCAAAAAAATTAAATGTCCTTTTCCTCAAGTCTGGTTAAAACCTCTCTCAATAGAAAAACAAATGTTTGTCATCTTTTTTGTTATTATCACTTATGCATAAGCACTTCTAAATCAACAAGTTGTATAAACTTTAATAGATAACTTTCCACTCAAAATAACCTTTGAGACATTTCAGCGGTTTATTTTGTCATTTCAGATTTAATTTCCATTTAATTGACAAAGTTATTTGACAAATTATTCACTTGTTCTATTAGGTTACCGTGCCCGCCTACTACTCCCACGACCCGGAATCAAATCCTGCTGATGCTACAGGTTAATCCGGGTAGTTGACCCCCGGCCAACCCAGCCGTCCATTCTTCCGAGGTTGGTAAATGGGGAGAAGACGTAAGTTGCTGCAATGTTGGTCAGCGAGATGACTCAGTAGTTCAAAATGCGCGCTGAGTCAAACATCTCAATGGCTATCAGTATATATATTAAACGTAAATGATGCGGTGCTTGCGCGTGAACATACACGTGTACGTCGGATAAACAGCCTTTGTGGCGAAGATGGCTGCTTCATATCAATGGATGAAGATCAATCAATCAATCTTCGTTTAGCGTCCAAAGACCCGGTTTCCCGAGGTAGGACGTTGTTTTCGTTGCCATCAACTTTTTGCGCCAACTTAGACGATCAGTCGTATCCATTTCATTTAAATTTAGAGCTTTCATGTCTTGCTCGATTGTTTGCGACCAGGACTTCTTTGGACGGCCTTTGGGACGTGTGCCAGGTACTTCAACATCTGCAAGAGAAGTTATGGCACTGTTTCCACTTCGTTTGACATGACCAAACCACCGCAGACGGTGTTGCCGGCATTCGTCCTTTATATCATCTAAACCGACGCAGGATTTCGGTAGATTTGATGTGGTCCTTCAGACTAATTCGTTGTATACAACGGAGCATTTTCATGTCGGTTCGTTGAAGTTGTTGTTCCAGTTTGGTTGTCATTGGCCATGTTTCTGCACCATATAATAACACCGGACGTATCACAGAATGGATGAAGATATGAAGAACATAATAAAAGATATATAGATAATATGTGTAAAATTGTTAGTGGTTCAGAGTTGCAATTCAAACCTTTTAATTTAATTTATTCGACATTCTTAACCATAATATTTACAATAAATAAATAAATAAATTACTTCTTAGTAAACCACTAATAAATTTTAAAAGAACTAAAAACAATTTGCAACTCTATTTTAATAATAAAATAGATTTTTGAACTAGATGTCTAATCTAATTTACAAGTTTTGATAAATATATAAAAAGTAAATATGCAAATGATAAATGCCTTATAAAACACAAACCTTAATGAGATCACAGAGTAAGTTATAAACGTGAGCGCCTCTTGGCAGGAAGAAACAGCTCCCTGGACTCAACTCATGAAAAAAAAATAATTCCTGTTCCTAGCAAAACAGAATTATCACAATTTTAACATTTCAACATTAATTAAAAAAATTATTAATATAGTTAGTATAGATATGCAGACACTGTTACTTGAAATAAAAATCAATTAAATATTAGAATAAGATCCAAACACAAAAATAGTGTTTGGATTTTACAATACAAGACAATTTTATTAGAACCCCTCAAAGAATAAAAAGGACAAGGCTCAGGATGATTGAGAAGAGTCAAAAAAGACTCATCAAGCACAGCCACCTTTTCAATCAACAAAAAAAAAATAAAAAAAGAAAATATTAAATTAATAACTATAAATATGTATCTACGTTTATATTAACATGTTTTTGGAGAGAAAAAACAATACTAAAATTACTGGATAGTTAAAAAATTTGTTCGAGAATGATATTATCACAAAGAAGTAAACCATATTATAGGTAAATTTATTAAATATTAATATTAATAATATAATTAAATATATAAATATAATATAATAATAATTAAATATTGATATTAAATATTAGGCAAAATAAAGGATAAGTTATTATTATATAAATTTATGTAATTAGAACTTACAAAATTGGAATTTTGATGCAGAGTATAAAACATTAATATTTAATATGAAAACAATACAAAATGTAAAAAGTGTTTCGAAATTAGAAACAAAAATAATAATTTTAATTCAATAATAACAGACAAACCCTGCCAATTTTTCTGTGATCCCGTTTAGCAGCTTCCTCTTGAATCTTCTGCCACTCTTTCATTTGTTTTGTATCAGGGAATGAGATGCCATAAATTCTCTGCAGAGTCTCTGCATCAGCTTTTCCTTCCCAGTATGATGATGAACTCTGATGCAATGGTGTATTAAAGACATCGTTTTAATAACATATGATGCACAACAGTTTTATCAATTTAGACGACAGCAACTAATTCATGTTTATTGCAAAGGGTCCGACGATATTGACAGACGCTTAATTTATAATAATATGTAACAATAAATAATATTTATCTAATTATTTAAAAACTCAGCTTTCGGTAAACTCCTTTCCATCAATTGAAAATAAACAATATATATTGTTATAACCGCTGGAATGATCAAATTGCGCAATATTATTTGTTTTCATAATTATTATTGTCTTTGTTATATTTGAAATCTTTCGATTGTAAACCTTAGAGGACTGTAAATAGATAACCGAATCCATGCTAAAAATCTAGTGCAGAACAATATAAAGATTTGTGGATAGAGAGGTGACCAGCAAAGGTTTGATGTGAAGTTGTTATTGTGGTTTATGTAGTTTCATGGATTGAACAAGATGAGATCAAGCTACAGTGGAGAAATACTATTAAATGAAACAAATCCCATCAAGTCAACTTTGACGCTCCACCCATCGAAGGTCCGATTCCAGACATCACTATAGAAGCTATGAAGAATGGAATGGCAGCAGGGCCCTAGGGACTCACAAATGACATTATCAAAGCATCTGGTACTGCAGGTATCCAAACATTACTACAACTTTGCCCATGCCGACTCAATGGAGCTATAGCATGACAGTTCCGCTATACAAAGGCAAAGGTGATCCATTGAACTGTTCATCATATCGGGGTATACGTCCGTTAGAACACTCCATGAAAATTGTCGAAAAAATCATTGAGAGAAGATTAACGTCGTGCATCACAATCGGAAATTATCAATTTGGTTTCCTAGCAGGGAAATCAACAATTGATGCAATTCACATCCTTCGGCAACTGCAAGAGAAGTACCTCGCAAAGCATCAACAACTATCGCACATTTTTGTAGACCTTGAAAAAGCATTTGATTGAGTTCCCCGTGAAGCAATCAGGTGGAGTCTTCGTCGACAACTCATTCCAGAATACCTTGTTCGACTTGTGATGGAAATGTATCGAATACTAAGATTTTCGTCAGCACAACGGTTGGAAGTTGGAAACACAGATGCATTTGACATCGGCGTTGGAGTTCCCCAAGGAAAGTCACATCGTTTCAATATCTAGGGGATGTTCTGGATTGTACTGGAACAGCTGAAGCTGCCGTTCGAGCATGCAGTCTGGAATAAATGGCATCTCCTTGCCTTTATATTGATGCGGCGTGACATCCCACAACCACTACGATCAAGACTTTATAAATCTGTGATACGTCCGGTGTTGTTATATGGAGCAGAAACATGGCCAATGACAACCAAACTGGAACAACAACTTCAACGAACCGACATGAAAATGCTCCGATGGATGCAACGAATTAATCTGAATGACCACATTAAATCTACCGAAATCCTGCGTCGTGCTGGTTTAGATGATATAAAGGACGAATGCCGGCAACACTGTCTGTGGTGGTTTGGTCGTCAAACGAAGTGGAAACAGTGCCATAACTTTTCTTGCAGATGTTGAAGTACCTGGCGCACGTCCCAAACGCCGTCCAAAGAAGTCCTGGTCGCAAACAATCGAGCAAGACATGAAAGCTCTAAATTTAAATGAAATGGATACAACTGATCATCTAATTTGGCGCAAAAAACTGATGGCAAAGAAAACAACGTCCTACCTCGGGGAATTAGGTCTCTGGACGCTAAACGAAGATTGATTAATTGTAAATACTTGGATTAGCTTGATGTTTCTAATACGGTTAGATTCAAATAAGCGTTCTAAAAAGTTTGCGTTTGAAGCATTTGTGTTCATTTATCAGAAATCTTTAACCTAAGGAATAACGAACATTTTTCTTTCTAAATAACCATATCCAGTAAGACGCTTGTTTGGCCGTATGTCCTATGTTTTTCCTACAACTTGACCGCCTTTTACCTGCTAAACCAGATCTTTCAAAACGTTTTAAACTGAACAACCCACAACACCTCTTGCACAATCTTCAAACACCTTAACTCGCGTTCTTTTATTTCACTAACTAATTTTTCATATATGGCAGTTTTTAGAGCGTGACTTGCTGCTATATTAGCCTCACACAGTAGTCAGTTCGACTAAAATAACAGTGTCAGCTGATAACGACTGTATTATAAAGTCAGGTCTCGTTCCTATATCCTTTGTACTGTCATGACCCTTCGAATCCCTGCCGTTTTCAAAAATACTTCTTCGGTTGCAAACTTCACTCCTTGTGGTTTGATCCAACTCTTAGGAAGTGGATTTTTCTTAGTTTACCGGGTGAATTTGAATTTGCCTCATCAAAAACATTGGAAATAAGTTCCACTAGTATTTTCAATACTTTGTTGTGCCTCTATATATAACGTCCATGACTGAGTGCGTACTTGTTTCGTTTCCACCTTTCAATATAAGCTACTTTCGAGTCGAGGTTTGTTGGCGTAATTCCTTGCTCAGATAAGTTGCATCGAGTTCTTCGAGTGCTGGCACTCTTTATTGCAGGAAGTTTCGATCTATCAAAAATGTCATTTCTGAGACCAATGTTAAAACTCTTTGACGCTCGTTAACTACCAACACCAATGTTATAACTTCAATATATTTACATATTTTCATTTATTTCTATATTTTCAAAATAGTGTTGTAGCTTCCAACGATTGTCAAGTTATCGTTATTCCGTAGGTTCAAGATTTCCAATAGATTATAGTTTATTTTAAGTAACTATATAAATCATAATTACAACTTCGCATCAAACCTCTCTCTTATACTAGAGATACTACGAGAGATTTTTTACAATCAAAAGATTACAAATAACAGCAAAGATAACAAATAATCAACAAATAACAAATAATAATAACAAATGCAGCGCAATTCGACTAAACAATATTATTACTTCTACAAAAATGTATCAACATTTAAATAACAAAACAAAAATGCAGCTAACTTTGGTGACTTGTAGTGCCTTAATCTTTCCTGTATTTCTAACATGTGGTCCTCTACATAAATCAATCAAGGGTCCACATCTTGAAAAAATTGAAACATATTCCAAAACCTTAATAAATATTTGCTTTTAACATGAATGTGGATCTACTGTTAATTTCAACAAATTAAAAAAAAGGAAGAGACCTGGTTGAGTGTGGCTCACACACAGCTATAAAGTTACCGAAACATGAAAATACTGGAAAAGATGTCAAATATTTGAAAACAAGTAAAAATTTACTAAACTTTGTGTTTAACAGGTATTAAATGTCATAAAAGTTAATGCAAAAAATATAGTAATGAAAATATAGATCATGAAAACTTTCGATGAAAACACAAAAATAAAATGTTATGTTAACTATTTCATTTTTGTTTCTTTTACTCCGCTATCAACAAAACATTTCTAAAGCATTTCAAAGTACGCCGGGTCAGCTTCAATAAATAAGACTACATATTTATTTTTGGGCTGTGAGGTAAAAACCTGTAAGTGGATTTCCATCAAATTGCACGAAAAACATCTCTTTACATGCTATAAAAACCGTGAAAAATTCATTAGATTCGCTTCAATTCAATACAATACTGTTTTATTTCCTCGTCAAAATGATAAAACATAACGAAAAGAAGGCAGTATGAATGTTATAGAGTTCATTGAAGAAATCATCGAGTACAACCACCTGGAACTTAAATTGTCAAAGTTCTGCAAAAGTGTTATTCAAAAATGAATAATCATTTGTTCTCAAGAAAAACAAAAGGAAAAAACTGAAAAAAAAATGAAATATTAAATTTACTTGTTCCAAATTTCAACATTTTAATGAAAATTGCAAATTTACAGATATCCATACTCACACATCCATACACATTCTCACACATCCCTACTCATTCGCGCTCATCTACACACATCTACATCCGTACTTACTCACACACATCCATACTCACACATTGTGGGATTTATTGGTATCTATTAGGACACTTTCTGCAATTTTTAGATGTATTGCGCTGGTGTTTTGATAAATTATTTTTGTGTTGTTGTAAAAAATTTGGCGAGTTATTAGAGCTGTGCATTTATCAATCGTAAGTGAGATTCGATGGCTCCTCTTTGTGTATGCATTGTGAGACGTCTTGATAGTGAAGTGGTCGTAACACCAATATACGAAGTTGTTGACGCGTACAATCGTCAATAGAACATTTAAATTCAAATTACATGATTACGCTTCAAAGTAGAATGGTCTTCAGGAGTGCAGTTGTTCTTTAAGACCAATTGTGATGTCTTACAATTACTGTGATATATCCTGAGTTTTTTTATTAGTATCATTTATTGGTGGAACGTTTCTTTTTATGATTTTTTTGAGGACGACTTCGCCTTTTTATGTGCCGTTAACATATGATTTCTGTAATATAGAGTTATGTCGTTGTCATTGTTGTTTTTGAATATAATGCTATCTTGCTGTGATCTTATTTGAATGGTGCTTTCAACGGGTAATGTTTTGTAGCCATTGCTTACTAGTAAATTAGCAATTCTTTTCAGTTTTGTATTGCGATCCCCAGTTGAAGACGAATGCGTGAATGTCCGGTTCACAAAGGATTTTATTGTACTTAATTTGAATTGTTCAGTGCATTCGATCTTGCCCATTTAAACAAATACCTTCATATGTTGGTTTAGCGTATACGGGAGTAGTAAATCTTTGTTCGTCATGCGTTACAAAAACATCCAGAAATGTCCATGAATTTTCACTTTCGTGCTCGATAGTTAAATTCAATTTTGATAGGTTCAGGGTTGCTAGTAGCTGATTGACTTACACCGGACCGAATGCGACGAAGATATAGTCAACATATCTGCCGTAAATGTTGGTTTTTAATTCCAGATTGCCTCTAAACGTTTTGCTTTTAAGATGTCCTAAGAAGAAATTTGCGAGTGACACCTAGTGGTGAGTCCATGGCTACACCGTCAATTTGCTTCTTGTATAGCTTGCCTATGGGGTGTGGAATGGTGCTTCAGTGGTACAGATTTGAAGAAGAGGTTTGAGATGTGTTTTTGGTATTTTGTAAGGGGTATTTTTAACAATTCGGTAAAATTCAAACAACACTGTATAAAATATGGTCTCGCCTATATATATACATATATATATATATATATATATATATATATATATATATATATATATATATATATATATATATATATTTCGGAACGAGGTTTTCTTTAATACAAACATCATTGAAGATATATGCCCATTTTGCATTAATGACTTTCTTTAATGAACACTCAACAAGTCTGAATTTATTAAACTCGTATTTATTTAAAACAATAGACATGGTAAGGCTAACAGCGCTGTTTCGGGAAGTCCATCTTCAGAGCCTATGAAAATAAGAATAGCATGAAATATTTTTATAAAATTAGAATGCATATTAAATGTGTAATAAAATTATTAAGAAAATAACGAGAAACCTTTGTTAGTGAAAACAATGCAAAACATGTACAAATTAAATTTATGGTTAAAAATATAAATGTATATAAAAAGTTAGTAAAATAGTATTAAATTAAATATTAAAACAAATAAATTAATACTGAAATTTAGTTCAGTGAAATTG